ATGCTGCTTGGCCTGCTGTGTTCATCCAGCTCTACACCTTGTTATCTCACTTTTTCAGGTACCCCACTTTTGAGTTTCAGTAAATATTGTCACTTCTGCAAGAAAAATACGATAATACCTGAACGTAGGTCAGCCTGCAAGAGATACTGGAACACTTTTGTTCAATTATAGCAAATGACTAATGAACTGATAGATAGCTTTCATTACTGAAGGTATTAGTAATATTGTTCAGACTTTGAAATAAACCATTAATAGAGCAGTGAATATTACAGTAAATTAATTGCAAACTTGATTATTATTTTTATAATATCTTACCACATCATCTGGTGTTGGAGGAAGTGGCTTTCGAGTAACTAAAAAGTAAAAAAAATTCAAAAAAGACATTACAGCAACCTCCAGAAATTTATAAAAAGCTGACTGAGAAACATATTTGTTTTAAGTGATGCATGTTAACACAGACAGGCATTTACAGCAAGCCAGCCAATACACTACATTGCTCTCAACAACCTCCTTTCATAAGGAAAACCAAAAAATGTGCATGCATCATTTGCAGTTCCAAGTTACATAAAATACTCAGGGATCTTGTGAAACAGTGGTAGTATCTCTACTCCTAAGCTAGAAGGCTTCAGTTCAAGTCCTTATCACTCAGCAATGAAACAGTGCGAATACAACAGAGTGCTGACATTTTACTGATCATGGAAGTTAGGTGAGGAAAGGAAAAGGTGTCCCTTTGCTTAACTTTTTATACTCTTTCATCCTCTATAAATTTGTTCTTGCTTTATTATGGAGAAAGAAGTGAGCTGTTTGGCAAGTATCTGTTAAGTAGTTCAGGTCTACATCATTAAGTTTTAAAACTGTATTCACTCATGGGGTATGGGCTTTGGTGGCTGTCCAGCATTTATTGCCCATCCCTACTTACTCCTAGTTCAGTTATTGCAAGTAGGCAGGAATAAGGAGTACTCAGATCAGCCATGGTCTAACTAGAGGGTAGAACAGGCTCAGGAAGGTCAGTGCCCTACTGTTGCTTCCAATTCATATGCCCATAATGGTACCCTTGCCTTGGTCATTAGCTATTCCTTACTCATTGCTCATTTCTAGCTTATTGTTCTTCTTCAGGGATTGTTATGCCTTTGACAAGCATTGTTGCCTGCGGTAACTGTTCTTGCTGATCTCTATGTTGTTAGTTACCTAGTGGGCCTTCTGAAATTGATGGTCATTGTATCTGTGCAGGTGGTGAGACCACACCTTCCTGTTCTCCTGCTTGCAGTAAGGAATATTGTCTCTAGTTGGATGTATATATCAATACAGCAGACAATATACTTGGTTGCTCATATTTATTCCAAATAGTCAAGGAAATAACTGCCCTACACAGGTCTCATCTGGGCTGACATTTGAGCAGAATCTTGAATGTTTGCACTCTGATTCCCTCTCCAATGCTTAACTCTGGCGATGACTTAACAGTTTTCTCAAAGTGATATTTGGCAATCTGTTGTTTCACATTGATTGTTTCATTCAAAATTATAAAAACAGGTGGGTGTGGCAAGACACTGATCTTGGAATGGGACAACTTTGCATGCCTTCAGTGGATGCACTTTTCCACTCAGGTGGACTCTCTCAGGTTGTCACACAAGATTTTGCTTATAATCTGCAATTGCTTCTTCCGCTGTGTCTTTGTATGCAGAGATGAGCAGATCATCCACAATAGCTTTCATCCTGACCGTGATGTGTTTATACCTAATAGTCATAGAGAACGGAAACAATGACACTGACCAGACATCCCAGTCTGACCTAACAAAGATATGTGTCCTATCGATAGGACAGACAGATGGGCAAAGAGGCATGATGCTTTGTTAGTAAGAAATGAAATTAAATTGGCAGCAAGAAGCGAAATAAGATCAGAAGGTGTAGAATCTGTGAGGGTAGAGTTGCGGAACCATAAAGACAAAAACACCCTGATGGGAATTATGTACAGACCTCCTGGCAGTAGTCAGGATGTGGGGCAGAAAATAAATCAGGCGATAGAAAAAGCATGTAAGAAAAACACGATTGCAATAATCAAGAAAAGAAATTTGTGGAATGTCTACAAGATGGTTTTTTGGAGCAGCTGTGATCAGCCTACTAGGGAACAGGCTATTCTAGATTTGGTGATGTGTAATAAGGCAGACTTGATTGGGGAGCTGAAGGTGAAAATTTGAGATAATGTACTTTGTTAGGAAGAAAGGAGGTGTAGACTATTTTCTAAACAGGGAAAGACTTTGGAAATCTGAAACGCAAAGGGACTTGGGAGTTCTAGTTCAGGATTCTCTTAAGGTTAACAAGCAGGTTCAATTGGCAGTTAGAAAGGCAAATGCAAGTTAGGCTCATTTCAAGAGGGCTAGAATACAAGAGGAGAAATGTACTGTTGAGGCTATATAATGCTCTGGTCAAATTGCATTTGGAATCATACGTGCAGACTTGAGCCCTACATCTAAAGAAGGATATGCTGGCCTTGGAGTGGGTCCAGAGAAGGCTTACAAGAATGGTTGATGCCTTGTCATACGAAGGGAGGTTTAGGACTCTGGGTCTGTAATCAATGGAATAGAGAAGGAAGAGGGAGGATCTGATTGAAACTTATAGAATACGGAGAGGCCTGGATAGACTGGACATAGAGAAGATGTTTCCACTAGTAGGAGAGACTAGGATGCGAGGGCACAGCGTCAGAGTGAAGGGATGACCCTTTAGAACGGAGATAAGGAGGAATTTCTTCAGCCAGAGGGTGGTGAATTTGTGAAACTCATCGTCAGGATTTTGATTAGTAAGGGGATCAAAGTTTAGGGGGAGAAAGCAGAAAAATGGCCTGAGAAACTGCCTGAGATAGTAGGGACTGCAGATGCTGGAGAATCTGAGATAACAAGGTGTAGAGCTGGATGAACACAGCAGGCCAAGCAGCATCATAGGCGCAGGAAGGCTGACATTTCGGGCCTGGATCATGAATCATCAATGGGTGTTGCAGCCCAACCAGTTTCTGTCCACTTAACCTGAGTTTTTTCAGCAATATTGGCCCCAACCCAACAGTCTTAATGATTGCTGTAAACTAAGAACCCGTTCTACTAGAATGTTCTCACCCTTCCATTCCCCCCCGCCACCCCCGACAAAACCGAACCTGCTTCTGCAGCAAGTTAAGTTCATGATAATCCTCTGAAAAACAATGCTTCAGTTGTCAGAAACAAGAAATGCAATACTTACTATCTCCAAAGAGGTTATATTCTTCACAGCCTGGAGCAAGTTTGTCTGCTTGTCTACAGCATTGCCATACTCCTTCTGCCCAGAATTTTGGATGATATTTTGGTATTATTAACTCATTATTTCTTATTTCTAATTTTAAAAAGACAAACAGGCAGAAGTTAATTTTAAAGAATGATAATTGCTGACTCAAATCACAAGCTCAGTTGAGGAAAACAACTTCTAAATTGAAAACAGTCTGATCTTCTTATCACAGTCTAATGCTCCACAATAGATTAATCATGCATTCAGTCTGCTTCAAGAGCAATTTCTTTAAAATTGTAAATTGAAATGGAAAACATGAGCATGTTAGCAAAGTTACCAATTAAATGAACAAAGTATATCATCTTTGTGAATCATAGAATTCCTACGGTGTGGAAGCAAGCAATTCGATCCAGAGTCCACACTGACTCTCTAATGAGCATCCCACCTAATCCACTTAACCTGCACATTCCTGGACACCATGAGCAATTTAGCATGGCCAATCCACCTAACCTGCACATCTTTGGACTGTGGGAGGAAACCCACGCAAACACACAAAGTGTGCAAAGTACACACAGACAGTTGCCCACCCGGGTCCCCGGCCCTGTGAAGCAGTGATGCTAAGCACTGAGCCAACCTGCCTCAGTGAACGCTATTGTTTCTAAATAATTTTAGTTTGTTTCTGCAATTCCATTAATTTCTAAAATTTGAGTAAATGTGAGTTATTGATTGCTAATAAGTTTGAATTAGCATGAATCCAACTGCATGAAGCAGCAAAATCAGTATCTACAATTACAGAGGCATCTGGATATTGTTGGTAATCATATTACAATGTTAATTAATCACACCATCTAATTCAATAACTATAAATTGTTTATCCATTGTCTAAGATCTATGGTTAAAGTAATAATTTCTGATGTCCAAATCTTGCACAATTCAATACAAATTGAACTCATATTGCCAGAATTTATGTAGGTCAGTGACAGGAAGGCCACTAATATTAAATGTATATCGCCACTTTCCTCAGCAACCCATACAGGTTATAATTGGGTATTTGAGACTTGCATATTTTTATCAGAGCCATTATCATGGGTCTTCACACTGAAAATCAACAAATCCAAAATTCAACTGCAAATAAACAGTATGGAACAGTACAAGACCTTTCAGATAATCAAGACTGCCTTTCACAGACTATATTGCAACAGTAAATATAAAGTTGTTACAGTTCCAGAGGACCACAGGACTGTTCTCTCATTAAAAAGAAACAGAGAGACGACTGGTGGTTTAACCTGATGGTCACCACGCCTCAGGCAAGAGGCGAGTTTGAGTACGTGGGACCTTCATGGTAACTTCAGCTGGTGTGAGAATTGAACCAGAGCTCTTGGAATCACTTTGCACCACAAACCAAGGATCTAACCAACTAACATAATCAACCACCATTTTGTTACAATTTTATGAATGACACTACTCAATATAATTAACCTGCTCAGGAAAAATTCTGTGAAGACTCTTATTAGTCAAGTTATAACTGAGTGAAGAAGAAGAATGAAAAAAGATTTCTGAATTCTTCAGTGGTTAAATACATTCTACTCAGTGGCACTGAAGCAAAAGACATCAGGTCTCTTCTCTAGCCTGCTGAAGTAACACAAGTACAATTATTGATTTGAGTGCTTGAGACGAAGCTATCCAACAAGGTGCAAGAACAGGAATCACAACCAAGATTTTTGCTTCCCATCATTAGTTTGTAACCCCTCTGAATGTCCTGTGGGCAACTTGTATGACTGGAATCAGACTTAGTTAGAATCAAAAGTCACAAGTCACAGAAGAGGTCCTTCAGCCCACGGAGTTTGCATAAAAATCTACATTTACTTCTGAGTCTACACACATCCCATTTTCCAGCACTTGACCCATAGCCTCGATTGTTGTGACATTTCAAGTGATCATCCAAGTACTTTTTAAAGATTGTGGAGTTCCCGCCTAGGCAGTGCATTCCAGACTCCCACCACCATCTGGGTAAAATCTTTTTCCTCAAATCCCCTCTAAACCTCCTACCTTTCATGTTAAAGGTATGTCCCCTGTTATCTGGCCCTTCGGCTAAGGAGAACAGTTGCTTTCTATCCACCCTATCTGTGCCCCTCATAAATGTATACAACTCAGTCAGGTCCCCTCTCTGCCTTCCCTGCTCCAAAGAAAACAACTCAAGTTTAATCTGCCTCT